GGTTCTTTATCAAATTTTTTTTTTTAATTTAAATTGTTATCCTTCCAAAATTATTCAATTGAATGATATTTCAATTTTGATATTGAAATATCTTAACTTTTTTTAATTTTTTTTTTTTAAAGTGATAGATCTATAATTATGGAGGAAATGCTAGGTGTGCACGCCTTTAGGACTGCATACCATATGTACCCTACTATAAAATATGTAATTTTATGACAAAATTTGGTAATATTAATCATAAAATGTGTAATTTCGTCACAAATTGATGTAACAAAAAAAATTGTACTCAAGTCACAAATTTTTACAACATCAATCACAAAGTTTTGAAGATTTTTTTTATGTTAATTTATGACAAAATTACGTATTTTATGATTAATATTACGAAATTTATAGTAAAGTTATCGTGATATAGAGGAATTCCCTAATTTTGATACATCATTGTATATATATTTTTTAATTTTTTATATATAATTAGGACTGTAGGATATTTAGGGCACGAGCAGAGATCTCAGTTGAGATTTTACTGAAAAATATATATATATATATATATATCATCTTGGAACCCACCCGTCCATTTAAAACTTTTAATACACTCCTAACACTATTCTTGGTTAATTAATAATCTCTAGGTTAGCATTACTCGAAAACAAAATGAACTTGCATGTGTATATATTTTATGGCTCATTGCATGTGTTGGCAATTATAACTTACACAAGCCCGTTGTCTAGGCCCCTAGCTCTTGCTAATTCGACTTTGTCAAACTAAAACAAGACAGCCTCTCTAGAGAGGGAGAAATTTTTGTTTACAAAGAGTATGTGTTATGTGGTACCTTCTTTTTTTTTTATTGGTTGAGAGAGTGGGGGTTACATTTTTGTGTTAGATGATAGAGAGACAACATAGATAGTCATAATATTTGTGATTGGTTAAAGGTATCATGTGACATGTCACATGTGCCCCTCCATAATTGTGCTTAAATTTTATAAATTTATTGAGGCTATTAATTGAATGAGATTGAACTAGCAAAGGGTACTGAGAACAATTCTACATAATATGATTTAATCACAATTGTTGGATTTGATTAGGCAAAAAATATTTTTTAATAGAATATATTTTTTATGGGAATTTTTTAAAAAAATTTCCTTTTAGAGAAAATATTGTTCTATGTTTGGTGGTAATAGTAGTGGTGCAACGAAGGTGGAGATGGTGGCATGGTGGTGGGGCGACGGCAACGGGGATGGCGACGGTGATGGTGGAGGTGGCCATGGTGTGGTGATGGTGGTGTAGTGACAATGGAAAGGCTGTGTTTGGTTGTGTTTCCAAGCAATGATTCTACACCCATATTCAAATATGATGTTTGGTTGTGTTTCTCAAATTACGTTTCTAAAACTCTGTAGAAAACTCTATTTCAGGCACGATTTTCAATTTTTTTTTTCAAATTTGGCCTAATCGGTTGTCCCACCAGATGTCCCACTGGTCGTCCGGCCAATTGACTTGCCGGTTGACCGGAACAGTGCATTTTTTTTTTTTGCAATTGACATATGTTAATTTTTATATATTTTAAAAAAAAAAATTTAGAATTTTTAAATTTTTTTTATGTGTTTTAATAGAATTTTGAGTTATATGTTTGGTTATGAGTTGTAAGTTTTTGTATCAATATCATATGTCACATCAAAATTTTTTCATTCAATTCAAAACTCTTTTCAAAACTCTTTCACCAAACAAATTTTTCACACTCAAATCATAATTTCAAAACTCACAAACTCAAAATACAACTCATACTCTCAAATCATATTTACAAAAATGTAACTTTTAGTTCGGAAAATATTTTTCGCCTTTTAAAAGTGAAAAATATTTTCTGCCCAAATATGCTTATTTTCCATTAACCATGAAAAATATTTTTCTTTGACTTTCATTTTTCATTATACTAAACACAAAAAATATTTTCCACCCAAACAAATGAAACTTAACTTCGTTGCATTATGCATAGAATCCAGGTTATGTATGTCTAATTGGCAGAGGACATGGTTTGCATAAATCTTGAGATTAGTTGAAATATATGTAAGTTGATCCGAAAATCTGGCCATTAAAAAATTTGTTTGTCTGATAGGTGACTTATTTTCAAAAAAATAATGTCCTACAAACTTATAAACTTTCTTACTAATGTGACACTAAAATTTTAAATTTTTATTATTGCATAATACATTGATTAATTATTAATTTTTAAATTTTTTTTAATTTATATAATAATTTTTTTTTCGGTGATACTTAATATTCATATTTTAGATTCGCACATGTAAATCATTTAATATATTTTTTATTCAATAATTACGGTCATATAATTTTTCTATATTTAATTTAAAAATATTAATTAATATAGTTTATTTAAAAACATTACAAAACAAAAATATTAAAATCATATAGCCATTTCTCGTTAGACTAATATCTAGTCACATGCGCAAAGCAACACACCAACTAAAAAGAGAGTTGTGCATGTATTTCAAAAGTAATTGTGTAGAACAATAATCTTATCAATTAATAAAAAATCTTACATTGCAATAATAAAAATGGTAAATTATCAATAGATCCTGATAATTAGATTTAATTCCTCTCAAATATTATTGAAAATAAGTTTTACTAAAATCGTTATTAAAAATATTTTTTTGTGATACGTTTTGCGTATATCGTTAAAAATTGATAATTAGTGATTCTGTTTTGTCATGACTTTTATAAATTATCTCTAAAATTTACAATTAGTAACATTTTTTCGTGACGAATTTTTCAAACTACCGTTGAAAATTGAAAATTAGTGACATTATTTTGTGATGATTTTTTTAAACTGTCATTAAAACTTATAATTAGTGACATTTTTTATACAAAAATTTTAAATTGTTACTGAAAATTAATAATTAATGATATTTTTAATAATATTTGATGAAAAATATCATTAATTATTATAAGAAGTGGACAACAACACATCTTTTAGGACTTACAGTAAGTTCTCCTAATAAAAATTACATAATTAAATTAATAAGGAGATATCAGAAATGTACATATAAGTGTAACCAATAAACGTATGTAAGATGATGTAATTGTTGCATACAATATATGATAAATTTATTGTTGCATACAATGATACAATAAATTTATTTTCATAATTTCAATTGGTTTATTTTGACCAAAATTTTATAATTTTGTCTCAATTTGATCAAATTATTAGAATTGTTAGTATTTTTTGATGAAAAATAAGCACATGAACAACATGTATTATGTTTTCATGAGAAAAATTATAAATTTATTTAACTCAGCCGTTAATCTCAATCAACTCAGCGACCACTTTCCTTCAAAAACCTTAATCAGCATTATCAATTGAATTAAATTAATATAAAATCTAAAATTAAAAATTAAATTAAATTAATTAAAATTTTAGAGATTAAATTGATAATAAGAAATAAAATACAACAACTAATTTAACCAATAATATATTTGTAGGTGTTTTTTAAGACAGGAAGTCAGCCTATAAACCTATGTAAGATTATGTAACTTGCATAGAATATTTGTAGGTGTTTTCCAAGATGGGAAGTCGATGTCTTTCGAATGCTGAGTAGGTGTGTCCTCCAACGTCAACAATGACCCCATTTTTACTTTTGCAACTTCGAAGTCGCTGTTGTTTTTCAGTGTAGATGTGTTTTTAATTTCACAAAATATTATTTTTATTTTATATTACTGTTTTATGGATTAATTTAATTGATTTTACAAACACTCCTTGGCACACTTGAGCAGTTGAGCTAGATCACCAAATGAAACTTTGGGTCCGTTTGGGAAGAACTAAAGTGGGTTTTTTTGGCTATTTTAGTAATAAAAGACAAAATAAGCTATTTTAGTCACAAAAAACAAAATATCACATCTAACTCATAATCATTACACTCTTCTCTCACAAAAAAAGTCAAAAAAGTCAAAAAGTCAAAAAGCCCTTCCCAAACTAAGCTTTTTAGCCCAGGCTAAAATAGCCAAAAAAGCCAAAAAACCAAAAAGTCAACCCACTTCCTAAACGGAGGCTTTGTGCTACCATGTGAAAAACATATTTTAAAAAAGGAAGTGGATTCCCTTGTGTATATAATTTGGATTGGAGAGTTTGTTTTGGCTCGTGGAGTTTACCATGAGTTTTATTTTAAGAAAAATGAGTGAGACTACTAAAAAAAGGAGTATTAATAGTTCTAAAGTGGTATGAGTTCTACATGATGAGATATTTTGCTCTTGTGGTTTTTTTTTTTTTTTTGAATTTCCACATCATTAGTGGTCAATTAGTGCTTCTCAATTAATGGGATGAATCATTATTGTTATTTTAATGACTTGACTGTTTATTTTGTCAGATATTTTATTATTTACAAAAAAAATAATTAAGTGGATGTGATAATCGCAGTCTATTGGATATATCGCGTTTGTCATAAATAAAAAAAAAATTGTATATTTTTTAATACACAATTATTATTTATTTTTTTATGATGAACGCGATAAATTGAATAACTTATGTCTACCGGATCAATCTAATTTTTTATATGAATATTATATATAAAGTGTTGTACAAAATGAATGATTTTATTTATCGAAACAAAATCTATAATGGATCTCATGGGTTTGATCAGCACCCTCCGATCCAAATTATGGATTGAAGGAAATCTAACTCCTTTAAAAAAGGAAACTCCTTGTGTAGTGATATGTACTTATTCTTTTTTTCTTTTCTTTTTTTGGTACAATTTTTTTTCCCTTTTTTTGTTAAATATCACCTAAATTTTAAATAGAATTATGACATTTATGATTTAAAGAATAAAATTAATTATTTTCATAATTTGTTATTACAAAAAATTATAATTTCATTTTTTTAATCATAAATTATCATAATTTTATTAAAAAACTACGTAATATTTATGTTGAAAATATATAATATGTACAAAAATATTAATACACACCTCTCAAAGTATAGCGAAGCAATTTACTTTTAAAAAAAAAAACCAACATGTACACACACAATACAAAACTTATATATGGGTTAGCTAAGTTAGCTAACCCTGAATTAGATATATCTGAGATTACATTACTAAAAGTAGTAAAAGCTAAAAAATTATTTAATTAAACGACTAAGATTCAAGAGCTTTGTATATCACTACGAAACAAGGAAGGATAGCCTTTGGATTAAAAACATACAACTCCTCGAGATTCGTGTAGATCCCTGAACTTCCGGCTACAGAATCGTATGAGCCAACTGGCAAGCTATCCTCCTCCGGCGGCGCATCATCCGCCATGCGCCTCACCCTTCCCGCTATCACTCGACAAACCAACATAGCCCTCCTACCGTCCATTCCTTCGAGGCAGTCGTGGGCCCTACCACTACTCGCCGTGGTGCGCACTCCCTTGCCGTCCGATGCTTTTCCTTGGAATCCGTGCCTGATAATGGTGCATACTTCGCAGCTTGGTATTGAACCGCAAAGGCTTGATGAGCCGCGCGCACCGAGTGAGCAAGCTAGAGTTGTGCAATGGAAGCGTAACAGCTCGTTGCCATCAGCGGCGCACCTGGGGTTTTTCTTGGTGTTGGCGTTTGCACGGATCTTTACTGTGTCTCGGCAGTCCTCAAACCGTTGAATGGTGCGCTGGGTGTTGTGAACCTTTAGTATTCGTTCGATCTTGCAGATTGGGATGTCTTTCTTGAGCCAGCTTGATTTGAAGATTATTTCCACTATGTTCCGACCCGAATCTTCTGGACCCAGCTCCGACACTATATCATCAACAAAATATTTATGCGCCATTTAGTAATGACTTTTTTAGTTAAAAAGTCAAAAAATTAGTAAAAAAATCAAAAAATTAACAACTTATATAAAAAAATCAAAGATTTTATTTTCTTTTTACTTTTTGCACATCTTTACGTAAAAAGACAAAAAATCATTCTAAATATATTAATTTTTTTATATCATAATTTACCAAAAAAATCAAAAAGTTATTAAAAAAACATGGTCCGCGTTAATTACTAAACCAAATTACCCCTATAAAAGGGACCAATAGCAACTTCAATGGACTCTTTAAATTTTTATTTTTTTTTATTTTTTTTCTCTTATGGGGTGAATGAGACTTGTTAGGTAAAATAACTAATTATTTATTATTTATTATAGCTCTAATTGACTCTCGAACTATTAAGTTAATTTAGGAGTAATGTTAGATATCATGAAAAAAATATCATGAAAATAATCATGAAAGATTCTTCACCATTAAATCACATATACAAAAAAACATCACATACTAATCAAAAGGTGAAAAATCTTCATGAAATATTTCTTGATATTTTTTTCATAGTCTCTAATATTATTCTTAATTTAGTTCTCTTTTCTTTTTTTTTCTTTTTTTCTTTTTTTCTTTTTTTCTTTTCTACATTTAGAGTCATTGAAGACTCTTCAAACTCTAAAAAACACACTTTATCTTGTTCTCTTCATTTCTAACACTGAGGTGGTATATTATAAAAAAATACCATCATAATTAGTTTGAATGGAAAACTAGATAGCGGTATTATTTGTTATAGTTTTTGAGAGGTGATTATAATTTATTTTAATTTGGGAGTCTGTGTTAAACTGTTTGGTGTAATTTCTGCTTATAGCTTATTAGGTAGAAATAACTTAAATAAGCTGAAAAAAACTGATTATTTAAAATGTTAAGATATGGATAATTTTAACTTCTACCTTCTGATTATTAGCTTTTAACTTAAACAAAATTCCACCAAATAGGGCCAGAAAGTAGCATTACAGTAATTACAAAGTAAATTACAACTAAAATTAAAAAAAAAAAGATTATACTTTTTTTCCCCTTTAACTACCCAAAAAAATAACTTGCATGCCACAATTGTGTATTTTAGAAAGTTCTTTGGATGTTTGTTCCTTTAGCAGGGGGGGTCTTTATGATCAAGGACTACCGTCTGATGAAAGTGGTTTGACCCACATGATTGGGACACGTCACTTCCTAGTGGAGGGTGCTTCTTTGTACCAAACGTACAGCTGTAATCGGGTACATCATGGTCCACATAAAGTGAAGTGGGAAAGCAGAGTCAAGGGGGGCAACAAGATTTGTGGAAGACAAAAAAAAGACAGTAATGATACGCATCATGAAATAATTATCATGAAAAGTTTTTTAAAACTAATCTAAGGATAATTACATAACATATAATAAAACATTACAAACAATACAAACTAATTTAAGGATGAATAATCTTCATAAAAACTTTTCATGATATTTTTTTATGATACCTAACATTATCGTAAAACAAGATGGATTTGGTTACCATGTACACTAATTTCGCCCCAAAAAATGGACAAGAAAATATTGAAAGCTAAACTCCCACTTAACCATTGGTCAATATTACATTGCTGTGACTGAATTTTCTGTTAATACATAAGGCAAGGATAATAAGTTATGTTTGTAAATTGTTTAAAATAGTTAAAATGTCAACTCAACTTTTTTATATTTTTATAAAAAAAAAATTAAAAATTCCATGTGCTTTCACATCTTATGGTTTAAATTTCATTGGTACATGAAAACATAAATTTTGAGTACATAGGATTCTTAACCCCGATATGATCAAATTTCATTTAATAAGACACCCAAATTGAGACCCCCTTAAACAAATCCATTAATGTTACATTAGGTGGTATCTAAATTTCACCCATAAATTTAATAAAGTTAATTCCAGTAGTCTACTAGCATCATTGGAGTATAACTAAGACCTACTCTTATTATTTAATTCTCTATTAGCTATTAGAACTTAAATCTATTTTTTTAAACATATAGAAAAAAACATAAAGAAAGTTGGAGTGAAAAGTATTTATATAATTGCAATACGTTGGATAAATTAGAGGGATGAATGAGATATTGTTGACCAAAATATTGAGCACAATTACTAAAAAGAAAATGATATGTAAATCCATTTTGTAGATCCAGTGATATTATCAACAAGATAATTGGTCGATAATTAGAGAATAAATGAGAGAGCGAGAGTTGACTTAAATATTTGCATGTAGTGCCACATGATTGGGTCTAAAAACTTGGACCAATTTTTGGGCGTGAATACCAATAGAATTGAAAATAAGGGAACAAGAAGGTAAGGAAACAAATATTGAAGTAGAAACGCTCATACTTGTATATAAATAAAAAAAAGTTCAGGCGTAATTAAAAAAATATATCTAAATTGAAAGATGAAAATAGATATTAGTTTGGAGAAAGAAGAGAATAGACAAAAATACTTACCAGCATGCCTAACTGCTTGATGAAGCTCCAAGCTTTCAATCTTTGGGAAGACCTCTCCACACTCTGAGCAAGCACATATTGTAGACCTTGGAGATGGGTACCTGTTTTTTTTTTTTAATCAGGATAATTTTATTTTAGTATATTAATTACTCTAGTAAAAAGTTGTGTGTCTTGAACAAATACCTTAAAATACACACCCACAACAAAAAAAAAAAAACCACATGAATATATATAAAAAAATTCTCATGTAAATATAGTCCTACTGTGAAAATGTGATACTTGTTGAATTATCTTGAATAGAAAAATGTTAGAGACCCACAAATTCACTTATAAATACAATCATACAGTAAGAAAGTTAAGGTCTATATAACTGAGTGTATGTCAAATTAAAAGTAGACAATTATCACGTCACATCATTCTAAGTTAAATCGTAAGAGTAATTTTAGGAATCTCAAACCTTTGTTGTTTGGATAATAGAATTTACCAACTTATATGTGTTGTTTTATGATTAATTAGTGATATGACGTGATGGTGATAACCCCATATCACCATTATATGAAATTTCCTTTTGAAAAATGAAGTATATGATGTAATTTCAATTTTAGTATAGTGTAGACCACAATTACAATAAATCTATCCACCATATTTTACTTTTTTAGTATACATTTTAACCTAAACCGTTCAATTAAAATGAACTCAGTTGACTACCGTTGTACACCTCTATCAATAGTTCTTTAATTTATTGTTAATTTTCTTTCTTAGGTTGGTTAGTCATTGAGTTGATTGTTTCTTGTTCATTACACGCATTTTGATGAGCTAATTATTGATGAACTATAATTTTTCAGATGTAATGTTCGATAATAAAAAAAAGAAAGTAAAAGAAAAAGAAAGCAATAAAAACCTGCTAGGATCGACAATCATGCGACATTCATAACACCCAGAAAGCTTTCTCAATTGCATGCCTCTAGAAGAGCAAGTGAACGTTGCACCACCACCACCGCTGCCGCCATTGGATCTAGTGGAGCTCGACAATGATCGACTCGACGCAGACCCAGTGACACCAGCAGCAGCGGTGGCTTTGCGAGTGAGCAGCCTGTTGTTGTCCTTGCCGACAGTGCTACCTTCCGGGGAGTTATCGGCCCTGTGAACCACCCTGCTAGTGTTGCCATGAACCACGTCTCTGAAACTACATATGGAGCTGCAAGAAGAACTCAGCTTCGCAGACCCACCAGAGCCTTTGGATGAAGATGATGATGGGTCGTGAACTGTGGACCCTTCGATCTGTTTGCAGGTGAGGAGGTTCTTGATTTGGTCCCATGAGGATGAGGATGAGGATTGTTGGCTGTGAATCTGATGCTTTCGCTTGCGTTTGGAGGCGGGTTGTTGTTGTTTTTTGGATTGGGAGGAGTCTGGTTCGAAAGTGAGGAGTGCCATGAAAAGAAGAGAAAGAAAATAGAAGAGAGCTGGTACAATGTAAGCTCTCCTCACGTTCATGGGTATCAATGAGAGAGAAAGAGATTTTGGGGTTTTGAAACTTTGATGAGGAGAGGAGAGAGAGTGTTTTTCTTTCTTTAATCGATCGAGAGGAGGTATCCGAGACGGGTAATAAGGAGGGAAAGTGGGTGGGTGGTGGGTCGTTAACCTTTTTTATTATTATTATTTCAAATGACTTTTCTTACAAGAATAATCTGATTGTAGACATGATTATTCAGATTTTTCTAAGTAATAATAATAATAATAATAATAATAATAATAATAATAATAATAATAATAATAATAATAATAATAATAATAATAATAATAATAATAATAATAATAATAATAATAATAATAATAATAATAATAATAATAATAATAATAATAATAATAATAATAATAATAATAATAATAATAATAATAATAATAATAATAATAATAATAATAATAATAATAATAATAATAATAATAATAATAATAATAATAATAATAATAATAATAATAATAATAATAATAATAATAATAATAATAATAATAATAATAATAATAATAATAATAATAATAATAATAATAATAATAATAATAATAATAATAATAATAATAATAATAATAATAATAATAATAATAATAATAATAATAATAATAATAATAATAATAATAATAATAATAATAATAATAATAATAATAATAATAATAATAATAATAATAATAATAATAATAATAATAATAATAATAATAATAATAATAATAATAATAATAATAATAATAATAATAATAATAATAATAATAATAATAATAATAATAATAATAATAATAATAATAATAATAATAATAATAATAATAATAATAATAATAATAATAATAATAATAATAATAATAATAATAATAATAATAATAATAATAATAATAATAATAATAATAATAATAATAATAATAATAATAATAATAATAATAATAATAATAATAATAATAATAATAATAATAATAATAATAATAATAATAATAATAATAATAATAATAATAATAATAATAATAATAATAATAATAATAATAATAATAATAATAATAATAATAATAATAATAATAATAATAATAATAATAATAATAATAATAATAATAATAATAATAATAATAATAATAATAATAATAATAATAATAATAATAATAATAATAATAATAATAATAATAATAATAATAATAATAATAATAATAATAATAATAATAATAATAATAATAATAATAATAATAATAATAATAATAATAATAATAATAATAATAATAATAATAATAATAATAATAATAATAATAATAATAATAATAATAATAATAATAATAATAATAATAATAATAATAATAATAATAATAATAATAATAATAATAATAATAATAATAATAATAATAATAATAATAATAATAATAATAATAATAATAATAATAATAATAATAATAATAATAATAATAATAATAATAATAATAATAATAATAATAATAATAATAATAATAATAATAATAATAATAATAATAATAATAATAATAATAATAATAATAATAATAATAATAATAATAATAATAATAATAATAATAATAATAATAATAATAATAATAATAATAATAATAATAATAATAATAATAATAATAATAATAATAATAATAATAATAATAATAATAATAATAATAATAATAATAATAATAATAATAATAATAATAATAATAATAATAATAATAATAATAATAATAATAATAATAATAATAATAATAATAATAATAATAATAATAATAATAATAATAATAATAATAATAATAATAATAATAATAATAATAATAATAATAATAATAATAATAATAATAATAATAATAATAATAATAATAATAATAATAATAATAATAATAATAATAATAATAATAATAATAATAATAATAATAATAATAATAATAATAATAATAATAATAATAATAATAATAATAATAATAATAATAATAATAATAATAATAATAATAATAATAATAATAATAATAATAATAATAATAATAATAATAATAATAATAATAATAATAATAATAATAATAATAATAATAATAATAATAATAATAATAATAATAATAATAATAATAATAATAATAATAATAATAATAATAATAATAATAATAATAATAATAATAATAATAATAATAATAATAATAATAATAATAATAATAATAATAATAATAATAATAATAATAATAATAATAATAATAATAATAATAATAATAATAATAATAATAATAATAATAATAATAATAATAATAATAATAATAATAATAATAATAATAATAATAATAATAATAATAATAATAATAATAATAATAATAATAATAATAATAATAATAATAATAATAATAATAATAATAATAATAATAATAATAATAATAATAATAATAATAATAATAATAATAATAATAATAATAATAATAATAATAATAATAATAATAATAATAATAATAATAATAATAATAATAATAATAATAATAATAATAATAATAATAATAATAATAATAATAATAATAATAATAATAATAATAATAATAATAATAATAATAATAATAATAATAATAATAATAATAATAATAATAATAATAATAATAATAATAATAATAATAATAATAATAATAATAATAATAATAATAATAATAATAATAATAATAATAATAATAATAATAATAATAATAATAATAATAATAATAATAATAATAATAATAATAATAATAATAATAATAATAATAATAATAATAATAATAATAATAATAATAATAATAATAATAATAATAATAATAATAATAATAATAATAATAATAATAATAATAATAATAATAATAATAATAATAATAATAATAATAATAATAATAATAATAATAATAATAATAATAATAATAATAATAATAATAATAATAATAATAATAATAATAATAATAATAATAATAATAATAATAATAATAATAATAATAATAATAATAATAATAATAATAATAATAATAATAATAATAATAATAATAATAATAATAATAATAATAATAATAATAATAATAATAATAATAATAATAATAATAATAATAATAATAATAATAATAATAATAATAATAATAATAATAATAATAATAATAATAATAATAATAATAATAATAATAATAATAATAATAATAATAATAATAATAATAATAATAATAATAATAATAATAATAATAATAATAATAATAATAATAATAATAATAATAATAATAATAATAATAATAATAATAATAATAATAATAATAATAATAATAATAATAATAATAATAATAATAATAATAATAATAATAATAATAATAATAATAATAATAATAATAATAATAATAATAATAATAATAATAATAATAATAATAATAATAATAATAATAATAATAATAATAATAATAATAATAATAATAATAATAATAATAATAATAATAATAATAATAATAATAATAATAATAATAATAATAATAATAATAATAATAATAATAATAATAATAATAATAATAATAATAATAATAATAATAATAATAATAATAATAATAATAATAATAATAATAATAATAATAATAATAATAATAATAATAATAATAATAATAATAATAATAATAATAATAATAATAATAATAATAATAATAATAATAATAATAATAATAATAATAATAATAATAATAATAATAATAATAATAATAATAATAATAATAATAATAATAATAATAATAATAATAATAATAATAATAATAATAATAATAATAATAATAATAATAATAATAATAATAATAATAATAATAATAATAATAATAATAATAATAATAATAATAATAATAATAATAATAATAATAATAATAATAATAATAATAATAATAATAATAATAATAATAATAATAATAATAATAATAATAATAATAATAATAATAATAATAATAATAATAATAATAATAATAATAATAATAATAATAATAATAATAATAATAATAATAATAATAATAATAATAATAATAATAATAATAATAATAATAATAATAATAATAATAATAATAATAATAATAATAATAATAATAATAATAATAATAATAATAATAATAATAATAATAATAATAATAATAATAATAATAATAATAATAATAATAATAATAATAATAATAATAATAATAATAATAATAATAATAATAATAATAATAATAATAATAATAATAATAATAATAATAATAATAATAATAATAATAATAATAATAATAATAATAATAATAATAATAATAATAATAATAATAATAATAATAATAATAATAATAATAATAATAATAATAATAATAATAATAATAATAATAATAATAATAATAATAATAATAATAATAATAATAATAATAATAATAATAATAATAATAATAATAATAATAATAATAATAATAATAATAATAATAATAATAATAATAATAATAATAATAATAATAATAATAATAATAATAATAATAATAATAATAATAATAATAATAATAATAATAATAATAATAATAATAATAATAATAATAATAATAATAATAATAATAATAATAATAATAATAATAATAATAATAATAATAATAATAATAATAATAATAATAATAATAATAATAATAATAATAATAATAATAATAATAATAATAATAATAATAATAATAATAATAATAATAATAATAATAATAATAATAATAATAATAATAATAATAATAATAATAATAATAATAATAATAATAATAATAATAATAATAATAATAATAATAATAATAATAATAATAATAATAATAATAATAATAATAATAATAATAATAATAATAATAATAATAATAATAATAATAATAATAATAATAATAATAATAATAATAATAATAATAATAATAATAATAATAATAATAATAATAATAATAATAATAATAATAATAATAATAATAATAATAATAATAATAATAATAATAATAATAATAATAATAATAATAATAATAATAATAATAATAATAATAATAATAATAATAATAATAATAATAATAATAATAATAATAATAATAATAATAATAATAATAATAATAATAATAATAATAATAATAA